TCCAAAATAAATTCTCCTGTAAAAAATTGTTTAAACCAAAACCTGAAGAGTTGTTTTTGTTGAGCATAGTTTTGGGATAAATACCGATGTTCAATATGTTGAAGTCCTAATAAAAAGAACAGGCTTAAGTGTTACCCCTCATCAGAAGAGCCCAAGGATGCAGCATTTACTAGCATTTACAGCAACATTTTAGCACCATTAGCTGACCTGAAGCAGTTTTTAATTCTGGTGGCTGAGAGTGAGCTGATGCATCACCAGCTCTACCATTCCCAAGCAGGGGACCTCTAATAAATTTGAAAAAGGTGACCCAGATATTTGTAGTGCTGTGCTCAGGTTTTCAGATCAGTATGACAATTCCTGTTTTGCAGCCTGTTAGTGTCCTTCCTATTCTTGTTCTCAAAAATTTTAATGAGGAATTAAAAAAAAAAAAAAGAAAATACAAACCAAAATGAAAATTTGGCTTGTCAAGAACAAAAATGTCTGGCACGTAACTTATGCACTGGAGTTTGGACTGCTTCAGTCCCCCTATGAATACAATGTCTATTTGGTGTCCAGCAGAGGAAAGAAGAATACAACCTTCATAGACATTTTAGTCTTTTCATAACCTAACGAATGTATATAAGCCTGCTAAAGAAGTGGTTTTTCTTCATTTTGAGTATTTTTGTTTGTTTTGGTTTGTTTTGTTTTTTTTTTTCTTTTTTCCTTTCTTTCTAGAATATATGTTGGGTATTTATGCTTTTTTCTCCCATTGTTGAATGCTGTCCTGTGACTTTGGTTAAAAAATTGAAAGAGACAGACTCCAATAATCTATATTTAATGGGTAATTGAATTAGGTATTTTCTCAAAACTACACATTCCAGCAATAGCTTTTTCACTGCTTCCAGCCTATACAAGCACAAGTTTGTTCAGTTATCTTCTGGCTATGATCCAGTCAGATAGTTAGATGCTTGAATGAACACAGAGAAATATTTTTACAGTGTGAAGAAATTTGATTCTTGGCTACAATACTTACCCTAAATTGCTTAGTCATGTGAAAGTATAATTTCACTAGCTAGCAGATATCCTGTCAAAATTCCACTTGCAACATACTTTAGCTCACCAGCTTTGACCTTTATGTAAGGTCATCTACACAGCTGTTTAAATAAAAATATACACCATGATAACTCACAGTGTGCTCCACTCATGCAGAAATGTGAGTGAACAGCTTATTGATTGTAGTGTCTGACATGACCTGTTTGTAATTAGGAAGTCAATAACCTGAATTCTTCCTCTCTTCTCCACCACCCACCTTTTCCCAAATTCCAAAAATATCTCTGCATTCAAATAGTGCTGATTTCGGATTCCCATCCCAATTTTTGAACACCAGAATTTCTGTAACTCTTAAATAATTTTCTGCATTTTACTTTGGTCCAGAGGTTGGGATGGTTGTTGTGGAAGGAATTTATGAAATAGTACAGAAATAATGTTCAAAAGAGATCTTAAAACATAGCAAGGATATAGCAGATTTTGGCTGATATTAAAATCATAACTGCATAAGAAAAAAATACTTAGCTGACAACACTGGCCGAACTATTGATGCCTCACTATTTGACCCAGCTGCAAAATAGCTACAAAGCATGATCTTCTCCCATCCTTACCACATGGCCTTAGCCCTTTGCAAGATGCTATCTTTTAACTTTAGCATCATTATCCCCAGTTGACATTTTCCAGTTACCTACTTGCTAGATACTACTGGTCTCTTTCAGTACATTTACAGAATGTTACAGGGCTTGAAAACATTTGAGGTTGTTGCTCAAGAGAGGAACAGGGCATGGAGATAAACTAATGGAAGAGATCAAATATTGAAATAACACGTGTAAAAGACTTCAGGCATCTTACATGGCATCTCAGAAAAGAGTCAATTATGGGGCACAGAAAGAATCTAATAATAACCAAAGTAGGCCAAATGCAAACATTGTCATCCTGGCAAAAATTTAAAAGAAGCTATACAAATAGCAGTGAAGGAAGACAAATATGCACACTCAGAGCATGCACACCCCAGAGTATCCTTACTGAAGCCCGTGATGAGAATATGATCTACCAAGCTCAGGGAATTCCAAATTCAGATACAGCTACATTTCACCTGAAAAGCCTGCCAAACCCAAGCTACTTTGCACTCCCAAACTGCCACAAAAACACAGAAAAAAATCACGGCAAGTACTTTTGTACTTACATGATTCTTTATACTGGCTAAAAAAGGAACAATGCACAATGTTGCATCATTTTCACTAGGCTTAAAATGCAGAGGCAGCATGTAAAAGCAGCAGGAACAGTAATCAGAAGAGAATAATGCTGCAGGAAGCCCAAAGCAAGGACCCGAGTTTCAGCAAGTATTTGAAAATACACAATTTGCTTTCTTGCAACTTCACATTCTGAAGGATTTGCATGCATATTAAGTACTGACAAAATACCAAAGTATTCCAAGACAAAGCACAAGCTTAAGAACCCTCAGAAAGACACATTAAGAATTATTCAGTGAATGCTGAAAAACAGAGTTGTTGAAAGGATTTTTTTTCAGTGTAAGCTTTCTTAAAATAAACATACATTTTAATAGACAGCATTCTCAGAAAGAATTTATTTCTAGTACAACAAGTGTAAAGGTTCACCCTTCATTTAAAGTACTATTCACTAGCCTACAGCCTTTTAAGCACTGTATAATTACCACATTGATGTAAGAGGATATAAATTTGCTTTCATGAAAAATGTCAACATATTAAACTTCAGCAATGCATTTGTATCATTCAGGGCATTTTTGAAAAAAACTAGGTGACTCCAGGAATTGTTTTCCATATACTCAGTTGTATTCACTATGAGACTTCTCCAAACTCTATCTTTTGGGAAGATGTGGGTTTATATCTTAACTGGTTTTCACTAACATTCTCTCACTTCCAGCTTGCAGTGCCTGAGCTGGGATTTGGAGGGCTCTGACACATATCCAGGTAGTGATGCTCTCCCTCCCTCTCCAGGGGACATTCCAGGACTTAAACACACCAGTTCCCAGAACTCTTAAGTTATATGTGCTGAGGGTTTGTAATTTAACACATAGCATGCACACATTGCCCTTCACAAAGGTTTTCATGCTTTTTCTCAGAAACTTGTATATTATTGTGGAACCAGTCTGGTAAATTGGATCAATTCAGTGACATAATTTATGATATGAGACTAACCACAGCATCTTTGAAGCACAGCTAAGGGGTAAACTTTCGAGTGGAAATGAGATGCCATTTTGGAAGCAGGAAAGGGATGTGAGAATTTAAAGTGGAGAAAAAAGTGTAGAGTCGTAGCTGCTCTCCTTAAAACCCAGACAAAACCAAAAAATATTCCCCCATTTCCTCCTTTGTACTTATCTTCAGAATCCATAGAGCAATACAGAATGCTTGCCTTCCAATGCCTGATTCTTTTTTTTTTTTTTTTTACCAGGGCTTCTCTTTACTTGCCCCAGATTTATTTCCTCTGATCTTCACATCAGCAGTACCATGGCTGATCTTCATAGTCCTGCTGCAAAGCACCCCTTCCCTTCTCCTCTCCACATTTTCATGTAGTTAAGAGAATTAACTTGGCCTATCAGATATCATTAGTATTTAAAAATAAAAATAAATTTCTTCATCTATTTATGGATTTATCAGTTATGCTTACCTGCATAGCAGGTAAGTGGCAGAAGTGCATTCAGATCCCTCTGCTTCTACTCCTCAATGCTATTCCACAACAACTAAAAATAAAAAGTTTATTTATCCTAGACTGGAAAATCTAGCTCTGCACCACAGCCTTACTATTAACTGAGGTACTGAATGCCGCAGCAATCTTATTAAATTGTATTGTAGAAACCTCAAACCATGCTATATTCTAATAGCAGAACTAGGTTTGCTTTTTTCTTTTTTAAAACAAACTAAAAATACTCGATTTCTCATTTCTGTACAGTAAACCAAACCTTGCAAGAGTCAAAATAAGTCCCAGTCTGATTGCAGTAAACACTTCAAAGTACAGCATACCACACTCCCCCTCCTATCCCACCACCTTCTCATACTATTTGACTGAGGCTTTCCACCATGTGGAAACATTCTGTTTCAAACGTGCTTCTCATCTTTCAGCGAAAAGCATCTGCCTAGGCCAGATGCTTTGGTTGTCTTCTTCGTTTATTTACTTGGCTGTTATTTAACATGAAATAGTTAGCACATGATGACAAATGCAAATCTAACCCTCTTGCAATAATTTCTTTCCAGACATAAATGCTTGTTCTTCGTCCTGGCTTGTCCTAGAACAAACAGAGACTAGAAACAACTGTTTGTTTCCTGGAATAAATTTTTAGGGAAGGTGTAAACTTGCATTCATTACCATTAATTAGATCAAGCTAATTAGCAATTATTTCCATTTAAAAAGGAAAAAAAATGTTTAGTCTAAATAAATCCTGATCTGTGCACGTGTGTGCTCAAGAAAGTGGAGCTAATTTCTAGGAGTGCATTTCATCAGGTAGAAGGAAAGTGAAGACTTATCATTAAGAGAACTGAACTGAAACAGAACAAAAAGGCATATCAGAAGTGCCACTTGCTGTATTTCTCCTTTTGAGTGTGTATATGGCTGTTTTTCCACTGTTTTAAACATATGGCATAACAAAGGACAACTGGCACTTGAGGTCCTACAGAGGAAGTGAGTTTGGAAAGAATACTTTCAAGGAGGAAAGTGTTATCAAAACTGAGATAAATGACTATTTCTCTCAGCAGTAATGCCAACTTATGCATCCCCTGTGCCCTTCTTACTCCATGCTCTTCTTCTCTCTGGTGCTGGCGCCACAGCTGGTGTGGCTGCACAGGGAATGAAATCAGGGCAGTGGTCCCGTTTAGGAAAATTGCTTAAAGGCAATAACCCCTTTAGGTGCCATTGTAAAGGAAGGACTTAGATGGATAGAATAGAATACGTTATAAATGTTTCTTTTTTCTCTAAAGATAGATTTTGGAAAGCCTTACCGTGAGAGAAGCTTCTGTCTGTGCCGCGGCTACGCAGCCCCACAGGCAGGACTCGCATCAGGGGAGCGGCGGGGCCCCGGCGTGTGGCTGGGTGAGGTGCAGCAGCAGCGGTTCAGTGAGCCATCCCAGCGCAGCGGGGAAAGCGAGCTGTGCTTCAGTATCCCATGTTCCTGCCTTTTCCAGCCGAACTGCAGTGACAGAGCACCGAGCTGTCTGTCAACAGAAAGAGGGATTTTTTTTTTTTTCCCAGTTGCATAAGGAAGCAGTCAGATCTGGCTGTTCTTGTAATTTATCTCCAGCTCAGCTGACTAAGATGTACAAGTCAGGAAACTAACATCTTTCTTATCAATTTTCCAGTCATTTTTTATAGGTACTGTGAACTACATTGAAGCTACCCTTCTCAGTTCATTGTGGTGGGCTGTGGATCTGCAGCAGAGCTCAGTCCATCTTATGTAGCCACTTTGAAATATTTGCTACAGCAAATTATTAGCTGATAATGTTTATTTAATGCCCTCTTGTAGCAGTCGTAGATTATACCATCCCACTACAGAATTATTAACAGTCCAGAGAACCCTTTAGTTGTTAATGACAGAGAATAGTTGGATCCTGCAGCAGTGTTGCTTGAATGACTCTTTCTTTAAAAGCTGTATTGTATCAGAGATTTGTTTCAATTTACATTACCACTGATGGACTGTCTTCAGCCTTTACACAGAATTCCAATTAATGTCAAAGAGGAGTAATCACACATTAAATGAATGGAGAATATTTCCCTTAAAATTTAATGTGTACATGAGATATTAACTATGGTTTTACTTAACTTTTATACTAGACCATTAACTATAATTTGCAGAATAAGGAGTTTCTGAGTTCCCTCCCCCCACAGAAAATGAAGTGCTGCTGTTTCTGCAAGCATAGTCTTGCTGAGCTCAGAAATGGTACTGGAGGCTGTAGAGAAAATGGTCAGTGAATTCCCCAGACAACTTCAAAACAACTCTCAAACCATCTCACACTACACCCACACATGAGATTAAGCCTCTGAACTGAGATTAGCTGCCATGAAAGATGATAGGAGAGAGTCTAAACCAACAAAATACTATACTAGTTAATGAACTAGTTAACTGGGAATTGAGGGGGAGGATTCACTGTCTATGAAGAAGGAGAAAGGCCAAACAGAATAAAAGGAAGAATATTAACACACAGTAGAAAAACTCCATAAAATGTACTTTTTTTTTTTTTACTGTAATGGGATGAGCAGGAAAAGAGAGACAACAGCATAAGTAAACATATAAAAAATAATGGCAATACAGCTTCCAAGTATCAAAAGATGTGTAATTTGACTGAGACAGTTTACATGACACCTTTTCTGTTGACGACAAAAAAACATAAAACCAACACACCACACCCAATAATGCACCACTTTCCTGGAACATTACTGAACTAAGGCCAAGATTAAGGTTAAAGCCCTTTGAAGTTTCACCTTCGTATAACTGCTTATCACACCAATTTAAGTGCTTTGCCCTCCCTCTGTTTTAGGCTTTGGCATTTTTCTTACAGACAGAGTGGAGGACTATGTGCAGAAATCTCAGCACTGAGGAAGGCAGCACCCACGGCCACACTCTCAACACCTGCTCTCAGCAGTGTGAGCTGAATCAAAGCCTCAATAAGCCCACACAAATGCAAAAGTGGCTGGGGATGAGATGTTACAGGAAGAAGACAGCATTGAAAGGCAAAAATCTGTCAAAGAAACATAGTTTTATACCAGGGAGAAACCAAATCAAACAATCTCTCACAGCCCTTGTCTGTCTTGTTCTCTTACCTGCATCTGGTCTTTAAACAAAATTTGTGCTCCCTCAAGAGTACTTATAGTACAGAATCAGTGACAGTGGGATGCAGTGCAGCATCCAAGAATTATTTCTAAGTGCTCACTTGAACTCATCTAAATCTAGTACTCCTTGAGCATTTCATTTTTTTCTATGTGGTTTCCAAGTTAAAATGTTGTAAAAGCCTTCGAAGGAGCCTTCAAAGGCTGCCTAAGTAGGGAAAAAATACATTTTGAAGAGGACTGTGCTATCTTCTAGAAAAACTAAGTCCTTACAAAAAGGTGAAAAATCTTACTAGTATTGGTTTTAGAAGCTTCAGCCAGAACTGGAGTGTTTAATGAAATCCTGTCCTTGAAGGAAGGACTCACTAGCCACATCAGTTTTCTTAGGTTCAGCACTGGAAAGCAGTGACTCAGGCAGGGACTGCTGCAGCTAGGAAAAGAAAACCCAAAACAAAACAAAGGAAAATAAAATAATTAAAAAAAAGAAAATGGAAAAAGAGAAAATAGAGGAGTCTGCTAAAGTTGAAAGGCTATATTAGGCTTGGTGTATGAACAGTGTATGATTATAGGTGTAACTTAAAAGCAAAAACCCCCACAGAAAATGCTTGGAAAAGGAGATGGGGAAAGAAGCACCAGGGAAACAATGGAGAAACATGAGGTTATTCCTGTGTGGCAGACCTGGCCCTACTCCATAACAAAAATATGCCATTTCTATGGCAGGTGGTCCACCTCCATCACATGGCCAGTCTGATATGAGCAAGCAGTAGACCTGCATGTGTCATGAAGAGAGAGCTTCATGTCATTATCTACACCCAGGGGAAAAATCTGAAGATGGATAGGGCAAGAAGAGTATTGGCACACACAGCAATAGCAACAATGTAAAAGGCAAAAAATGAAAGCACCGACATATCCCCAAATGCCTTGTGGGCTGATCACATTAAATAGAAGAGCGGTGTGATTAATGACACAGAAGAAACGGATACTAGCACAGGGAATTTTTCAGAAATATAAGGTTTGCCAGAGAAAAGTGCCAATCCCACCATCTCAACTGGTCACAAGTGTGCATCAGCCAGAGTGAAAATGGACGTCTTTTGGTTGAGGAAATCATGAGTGTATGACCACTGACTGAATTGAAAGAACTGAGCTGAAAGAATTTATGTTAAAATGGAAGGACACAAACCGAGTTTCCACAGAAAAGCCATATGTTGCATCATGCAGGAACTGCAACAGGCACAGTAAGCCCCTACTCAGCTGACAGTTATAGTAAGAAGCAGGATGAGTATAGAGATAGATAGGCTGCAAGAGACCATGGAAGAAGAAACATCCCTAATATTGCAAAATAAACCAAACCCAAGTATAGCATGCAGATATAGTAAAATGTGGCTACAGGAGCTGATGCAGTCAAGACTCAGCAGTCATAATCTACACATGTGAAGGCAAAAGGTAAAATGAAAAACACAGTCATCCTCCCAAAATATCCCAGAACACAAATGCACACACGGAGGAAGTAACTTGCAAACTCACCACGTTATTGACAGACTGAACAACCTCACTCATAATGCCTTGCATGTTTGCAAGATCTGAAGAAGGGAAGCTAGGCAGTAAGTGCTGGCAGTCCCTGCTGCCCATACACAGCATGTGGGCAGTGAGAATATCCTTTGATGACCTGAATACTGGTAAGGATGTCCAGAAGTTTGTCCTTGTTTCTACTTGTAGTTTTTGTTCTTTAGGAGTTTATTTTAATACAGTTTTGCTTATCTAGAGTGTATTCAATGGCCACATCTACATGAAACAGTTGCTAGATGTTGGCATACCATTGACACATTATATATCCTCTTAAAACCCGTCAAAAAAAGATGCAAGAAGAGGAGTCTACAGCATTTGCTTGGCTTGAGAGCACTAGGCAAAATACTATGGGCTCTGAAAGTACAGTGGCTGCTTAGCCCTCAGTGCCTCACATCGGTGCAACATCATCATCAGAGATTCACTGTTTGACGTGGATGTAAGAATGCTTATTTTGTATTTCAAGAATAGGCACAGAAAACTATATACCTGAGAGGGAAAGGTGCCTTATGGAGAAGCCAGTCCTGGAAGACTGCAGGCAGTTTGTGCCAGTGAAATATGGCTCCTTGGACTGGATCTTACTTCACTATGCAGTGGGTTTACAGAAAGTGGACCCAGTTCTCTCCTGGCTGGATGTGAGCACCATCCACTGAGATCAAGTCCATTACTTACAGCTTGCAGAGCAAGAGTTGGTCTGTTTGTATGCGAGTTGAGAACCCTTGCAAAAAACACTAACAGCATATGAGAGCTCTCAGTTATCCTCTGAAGACTAGGCTGTCTGCCAAGAGGAAAGCACATTAGACAGACACATCAATAATTCCCATCATCTATCCACCAAAAAAAGAGATTCCATTTACCTTAAAATGCATCATATGTGGATTTTACCATGCTAAAAAGGGCAATACTTGTAGGACTCTGAACTATCATAGTATAACAGGATTCGTTCCCCTTAATGCTGCTCAGATGCAGCTACTGCCTCAAGGAATTTATATTAATTCAGTGAATTCCATGCCTTCCCTGACAGGAGTGGGCTATTCCGCCATAAATTGGCTAAACTCTATGGCTATAACTGATCAAATGATGTGTGCCCATACATAATGTTTAACCATAAAATTTAACTAAAGAAATAAAACTTGAACATTGGCCAATAAAGTGGATGGAGAAGTGGCAGCGATGGTCTCAGCAGTAAAGCTATTCCCAGCACTGAGTGCAGGACAAGCATTTCAGAATGTAAAATTAGGTGAGCCAAATTCCAAGCTGGTGATTTCAATACACCTTTCAGAAAGTTAAATTTAAACTGAATACTGTTGAACATGCTATTTCAATGTAATTTTCTCTTTTGCCACTAAGTATTTCAAAGATCTTTCACAGCTATGTCAACTGAGAAACTGGCCAGCTATGTTCTGTACTGCATTTTACTGCTTACTGGGTCATTTTGGCTAACACTGTGTTTTCAGCTGACTCCGCTTGCACTGCTCTGTGAAGAAAGGCAAACAATTCTTGCCTACATCTGAAAAACATTTTGATCAGTACAGAAAAGAGAGATTACTTTTGTTTGCTGTTGTTTGTCTAGGATTGGAGTTAAAAAAGTTGAAAAAGAAAATAACAAATCCCCCCCTCCAACCCTCACTATGAAACTTCTAAGCGTTTTTACTTCTAAATACGACTTAGATCATCTGAAAATTGGCATTGTGTAAGGAGGACAAATGACTTAAGAGCAAAGATACGTTTGGACATACGTTGCTATAAGGAAAGACCAATTCAAGATTTTCTAGGTAGCCCATTTGACTGTAACTCAGTTGTTGAACTTGAACCATATGTAGA